TCAGCAAACAATTTGCAAGAAATAAGTGAGGCCAAAAGTTAGTACTAATTTGATTAATCTCCAAGAAAACAAACAAGATACAATGGATGATCTACAATTAGAAAGGTAGATCAACTCTCCACAATCCCTATGCCTAACATCTACTAATTGAGAGGTAGACGATCTCTCCCGAATTCAAACCCTAAGATTCAAGACGCGATCTCATCATAATCTAACCCTAATCCTATTAAGCCCTATTTATACCAAACAATAAAAAATATGAAATTACAAAATTGCACTTAAGAGCCGGTCTAAAAGCATGTTTGATTGACATCTAAATGAAATTAGTTGATTTATGGAAACCAAAGTTAGTTAACCTATACTTACACATAAAAGGGTCCAAAACCTTTCCCTAGTGATGAAGTTGGATAGTCACACTAAGAACTACTTATAAATCAAATTAATCCCTTTGATATTAAGCAAATGAATTCATTGTGTCATTTTCTTTTGTTGAATGATGTACCTTTTTTTATGCTGATGCCTCTGGGTGTTGGAATCGTGCGTTAGTGAAACCAATTTTCTAATTTTTGCTGTTTTTTTGTGCTGTAATGAAGCCTACTCCTATTAATATGGATTGTCATGATTTGTGTGATTCAATAAATCATGCAATGGATCCTCCTAATGATACTTAAGAGTTCAAAAATCTAACTATATATCAATTAAGATCCTTTGAGTTCTTCACTGCCCAATTTCTTTTGGCAATAAGTTATCTCAACAAGCTCCAAGCCAACCTCAGTCATTCCTTAGGCTTAACAGTACATCCCCCTATATTCATTCATTTGGTATCAAGGTGGCTGCCTCTTTTAGAGGCAAATCGATGATATTTTGTTGTCCAATGGTAAGGATAAAGTGCTTGTGAAACCTGTTGAGTTTGCTTTAAAATTACTGGGCTCGCTCTTTGTGTCTTATTGATGCACATGTATGTAGATTAATGAGATCTTTCTTATTGGTCTTATTGAAGCAAGCCATATGTTCCTGAGATTTCTCCCTCAGAAAGATTATGACACCCATCTAGGATTTCCCGAAGATGGTGTGTTGGTAAAGGAGGGATCTAGAGCTGTTTGGGAATTGAAAGGAATGATTACAACCAGGTTTCGATGAGAAAATGGGTCAGAGCAGCAAGAACAGCAGCTGTCGGTGACAGTAGAGATGTAGGAAGGGGCCAGCGGCAAGGAGAAAAGATGGAGAATGATGTCGAAGAAGATCCACCACCTGCACTGTATCAAGGTACAGCTACATCACTTGCAAGAACAAGGATACAGCACTCCCCAATGAAAAAACCAAGAGAAAAAATCTCAGAATTCATAACATCAAAGCAAAATATATATGAGAAAAACTACAATCAACCCTAATAGTAATCGAAGCAAGCAAATATAAGTCCTCATAGGGCTAGCCAGCCCAATGGGGTTCGGAAAACCCTAAATTAAACTGATTCAGATCTCCCAAAACTGACATATCAGGTTTGTTCCCACTAGAGCGAGAAATATTGCTCCTGCGTCAGATTATACTCACTTCCTTTTCTAGACATACAAAATATGTTTGGGGTTTTAGATGCACAGCACTTAAAACATATGATTTTACGTATGTTACAACTAAGCTCTTCTACTTACGGAATGAGCATATGAAACTGTAAATATGCACTCCCCGTCTCCCTCCGTCACTTTTGCCGTCTAGTCTTTCTGCGGGAAGTCCGACAAAGCTGCCGGAACTCTGTTGAAGTTTCTAAATAGTTGGGAAGGAAGCGAAAGGAAATCAGAGAGCAGTGATGTATTGCAACTGATCGGCAGAAGGGAAAATCTTGTCGGTGTGAGGTGTAGTGGCTCGCAGGAGAAGCTTAATTTTGACGTTAGTCTGAGGAATTTGAGACTGAGAGAGCAGCAATATATGAGACTGCGAACATTGAGGAATGGCCGGGTTTTTTGGGAACCTGCTGTGGAAGAGCTCGTAGGTAGTAGGAGTTGCACATCTTTAGCCGTATGAGGAAAGGGGAGCTCTCAGGTTTGTGTGGAGAAGGGAGAGCGGGTAGTGAGAGGAAGGTATATGGCTTTGGAAGAATATTTAAGAGGATACAGTTTTCGGTGAGTACCTGAGAGCGAGAATGAAGAGAGCATAAGAGAGTGGGATCTGGTGTTACGCAGAAAAGTGGAAAACCCTTTCTCCCTCCACCTGCCGCCACACACTGCCTTCGCCAACTTCAACTTCCCTTTGCTTTCCTTTCCGGCGAGCTCTGGAGAGCTCCGAAGAGATTGTTTGACACTGTTAATGGGGGCTGTTGAAGATATAAATATTGAAGTGTGCTGTGAAAAATGTAATATTAACGGTTTTATGTGCTATGTATGTAAATCCCCCAATTATGTTTTTAGTAGTACAAGGAGGTTATTAAAGTGGTCTGTTGACATGGATGCTAAACCTAAACCACCTATTATAGTTATTTGGGTATTGTTCCTGCCTAAATCAATCCTATGAATCATGTTGTACTTTACACTTTGGGTTCTATCTTTCAAACAGACAATCACGTTATTCAATCATCAATACTATCAAGGACAAGCTTCTTCAGGTACTTAAAGTAATAGCTATGACTCTACCATAATAGATTATCACAGACTTTACATTTTCAGATGATGCAATGTGATCATTTCTTTGCTTCTTTTGTTTTAAACTTCTTTTGTATTGTTTATAATTTAAAATTGTGCAATTCATCGCAGACTTCAGAAAAATTTTAAAGAGCCATATACCACCTCTACTTGAAGTCGTTTATAGTGTTGAGATGAAAAAAATAATAATTATCCAAAGCCCAAATGGTCCAAGGAGACTGTTACTACGAAAAAGTATATTATTTATCCATGAAAAAATATAAATTAGAGTAAATTGATGCTGCACTCACTCGAAAGAAGAGTGTGTCGGTGTTGGGCTTCTCCACCCTTTTAAAGGAGAGTAGTGGCAGGGATTTGACTACGCGAGGACATAGACCTTGAGGCTAGTTTTTTTACTAAACCACATAAAATTTTTTGAGTCTAGCCTTTCTTTTTTACCTTTTTTTTTCTCTGCATGCATAGTTTTAATTGTCTCATGCTATTTCATTTTATTTTTTGCACATGTTTATTCTTTGTTATGACATTATGATGAATCAAATTTAAATCAAAATAATTTATTTTTATTCAATAACAATTTTAAAAGCACACAATTAATTTCTAAATAACCTAATTCACCTTTCACACTCCTCTTTGGAGCCATTGTTACTCCTCAATACCTTAGATCAATAACAAAAAAAGCAAGAACAACAAAAATCACACTTATATAAGAAAAAAATTAATGTAAACTTTTTTTTATGAAGGAATAAGAGTAACAAAAATCAATAAGAAAATAACATAAAATGTTAGTATAAGATTTTATGCAATATGACTTGTAAATGAACAAATATAGCCACTATTTTAAATAACATTCTTATTGAATTAATTGATTATGAAAGATGAGATGATTAATATTGCACGTGATGAAAAAGATTGAGATGATGTTGTTACAGTTGAAAATGAGAGAGGTGGAAAAGCAATCAACTACAATTGTGAATCCAACGAAGATGTTTCGAGGGATATGAGAGAGTGCAACTTTTTAGTTCGAAGTCCCAAGTTACTATATTATTTGAGAACATGCTTATTTAATTTAAATTTCCTATTTATGTTTACTTGTTTATCTCAAATTACTTACTCATGTTTGACTTTTTTATAAAGTTATCTTAAGATTTACAAAAATTATTCTTAAATTATTTTATCATAATTTTAATTTTTAATTTATTTAATGGTTTTATTTTGAGTCTTTATCTTATCTAGAGAAAGAAAAATGCCTAATATTTAATCATGCAATTTTAAACATTGGTCTTAATTGCATAAAAGCACTTGGATGCACTTATGTTTTAGCTTTTGATAAGTTTGCCACGTTGCTCATAATATGCTTTTGGGCATGCACTTATAATTTAAGCTTTTTAATAAAATAAATAAGTAGGGATTCAACAACCCCCAATTTAACTGTTTTAGAGAGAAAAAACCTTGTGAGTATATACCTAATCAATCACTAATTATAGGAGTCATAGTTTACATTAGTTATCTAATCATAAACTATAATTGAAATAGCTAGCTATTAATTGCACTTGTAAAATCCCTGGCATCAAACTATATATAATTAGTTCATTAGATATAATTAATAATAGGGCATATTTTGAAAAAAAAATGTCTACTTACCAATAAATTACAACTAATAAGCCATAAAATAGAATTGCTACCATCTAATCATAATTCAGAATGGCAACTTGTCCGCTAATTAGTTCGCTGGGAGCTGGTCATTGTTTTATTATCATTATTTGCATCTAATTATTTATAGCTATATAATCTTGAAAACTTTAATTGCGAGACTGAGGACCGCTTTAATAGAATTGTTATCATTTGATGTTAATCTGTAATTCATTATGTTAATTTCATATCAATTTTTATTTCAACTTTATCTATGCTAGCCACTAATTATCAAAGGGACGACTATGGGACATAGGTAATTTAGGCAAATTAATTGATTCAAGCAAATTACACTAAACCACTTATTGCATTGGATTTGGCATCAATTAAAGAAAGTTAAAGGTTAATGAAATATGATTAACAGATAAGCTGCAAGTAATTAAAGAAATGTTATTAACTAAATTATTAAACCAAAAAAAAAAAGTATGCATGTGATTTGAAATAATTTTAGTTGTCTCAAAAGTAGAAACACTTCACTTTGAATAGAATACTCGTTAATAGTTTTAATGCATATATACGAACATGCTAGTTCACCTCAAAATAGATGACTGTAAAAAGAGCTAATGATGTTATCTGCAAGAGAAAAAAAGGCTTATGCAGGAATAAGCAACAATAATTTTTAAAATTTTACCAGAATATGTTTCAAAAAGTAGCTGCATTTAAGGGATTAACACTCACACTAGGCGTGTTGGCAGTAGCCGGACTTTCAATTTGTGAATTATTTACATCAACAGCCTCACGATTGCCAAGGCAGAAAAAATTCAAATAATCTTGTGGTTCATAAGTATCTTCAAGCCCAACTTCCTTTAGAGCTCTATAAATAGTCTCGTACATCATCTGCATTGTTTTTTTCTGCGAAAGAAAAAATGATTCAGCCCACACCGTTCATACACAATTTGAGTATCTGGTACTAAGCTCAAATGAATGGAAATAACTGCAAACCATGGCAATAATCTGGCTTCATGGTAAGTAAAGAAGACCCTATCCCCAAAAAATAAAAATAAACAGAGAGCCAACCCTGAAGCAACTAAAATTGCTCAACTACTAAACAAGGCTAACTCATCAAATCCAGTATTTCATTTAAGAAATCTAAGGTGATGTTTTATCAATCCCTAAATAGGAAAAATCATGGTAACAATGATATTGTATCACTGAGCCAATTTCATATATGAAACTTCATGATGCCGTAATTTATCAAACACCCAAAGGAAAAAAAATGTTATTACCGAACTCAAAATCTGAAATTACAACCAACATAAGGGAGATCTGAGATTGAAACAAAAAAACAACACAGCACTAGAATGAGGATCTAGGGTGTAGGTGTGGCAGTTAGGCTTTGAACCTTCAGGGATGTGGCAAAGGGGCGGCTAGCAAGCTGTTTTGTGCGGCGACAACAAGAAGAAAGGGGATCGGCAAGGTCAAAGCGAGGGGAAAGCAGTGAGGGAGAAAGGAATCAATGTGGAAGAGACTGGGGGAAGAGTAGGAGATACAAACCACGTGGAGACCAAGATACAACCAGAACAACACTTGGAACCCTAGATACAAACCTAGAAAGGGAAAAGAGACCCCGACGACTCTCCCAAAAAAACTCACAAAAAAAAAACTAAACACTAAACACCAACAAAACAAATATATATTCCTAGATAACTAAGAGTAGACCCCACTCCAATTGGGCGACAACCCTAGGTCCAGCGAGGGCTGAACAACCCTCCCTCAACCTAGACAAAGTCAGTCTAGGTCCTAGCCCCCGCATAAGTCAACAAGAGTTGGTGGAGCTTTGACCTCTTCTATCGAAGCTTCTGACTCATTTATATGGTGTCGGGTCGGTCAAGCTCAAGGTGGCAGAGTTGTTGTAACCTCCTCGGATTAGAGGGCCTTCAACTACATCTCTGAAGCACATGGATCCCACTATTGGATGCGCTATCCCACAAAACAACTCACACCTGAGAAGGTTTCCTGAATTGTGAGTAATCATATCTATATGTCCAACCATTTATAGGTACACTACTAAACTAAATTGGAACTTCGTGCCAAGTGTACTTCACAGAGTCCTCCAAAAGTAGTCAAAGTTGGCTCATTCATCTCTGAAGTTAAGGCAGGTTGAACCTCCCCAACGGTGGCAGGCCGACAATAAACTATCGTTCATGATATCGTGAAACTCTCTATGTAGTCGTTGTCCTAAATCTGATATTGGCTTTTCTGTCTCACTACTCTATAACATCACCAAAATTGATCCCACTAGCGCCTCTCTCATGACAAGAACACCTATAACTTTCAATTCCGCAGACCATGAGAGAACTATGTGATTTTCATCCTTGATGAATGAGTAAATGTTCTTGAACTCTTCATGCCGAGTCTTGAGATCAAACTGCCATGGTCTCCCCCAAAGAATGTGAAAGGCGTCCATGAGTACAATATCACACCAAACTTGGTCAAGCAACTGTTCCTGAATATAAAACTATATAAGGCATCTCCTATCAATACGAACCACGTTCCCCTTCTTCAACTAAGTCAGCAAATATAACTGAGAATTTGAGTAGTGAGACTTAAATTATCCACCATCTATGTAGACACCACATTCTCACTACTACCTCAAACGATGATAAGGTTGCACACATTTCCCTTCCCAGTTCAATCAGTATAAAAGATGTGGCGAAGCTACTTGTCACGACTCAGCCCAGTGCTTAAAATTAACTAAGACAGGAACTACGGTCGAACAATATTAATAGTTCATTTTACTTTTCACAAAAATATTTCAAAAACTTCCAACATACATAAAAGAGTCATTAATCCACAAAATGCAATAAAATTTAAAACATCAAGAAACAACATCATCTATATACAAAAATCTCAAATCAACATATAAATTGTTTCTATATAGAAGTAAACATAAGAAGACTAAAATCACAACATAATCTAGTACATATCAGCTGCAGTCTTCCTTCTGTAAATCAAATCTCTACTACCAGACATATCAACATAAATTTTTTCTTCTCCTGAAAGAAAATATTAATTGCAATCTTAAATATGACTTAGTGAGTAATTATGATCTAATATGCATTAAATTACGATACTTATGCTATGCATGAATAACCAAAACAAAATACAGATCATTCCTTTATAAAACTTTGAACTTTGACTTTAATTTTCTTCCTTTCAATTTCACTTTAAGTATTTATCATTTTAACAGCTTTAATAGTCATCACAAAATTACCGTTATACCCGGAGATATCCTCAAAAATGTGTTCGAATGCACCCTCAAAATTGTATCCGAAGGTACTCTTAAATTGTACCCGAATATACATCTTACCGTTTCCTTTAATGTGAACATTTCATTTCATATGATTTAAAATCATTTAAAATGCATCTTCATATATCTATTATTTTCCTAACATTTGTAATATCATTTCAGATTATCAAAATGCAACATGAATAAAATAATTATTTTAAAATATTTAATAAAATAATTATTCATTTAAATAACATTAATTTAATGCATGAAAATAATAGTCACTCACTTATCATTTTATTTCTTTCTCCCTGTAAAAACCATGATCTGAAGCCTTAATTCTTTGAATAAATTCCTTTAATGACTAATTAAGTTAAGAATATTATTATTAATACCAAACTATTAATTAAAATAAATCTTTAACTTATAACATAAAAGAAATTCTAACCTTTTGTTCATTATCGTGTATGAAACCAATAATTTGTCTCCCAATATTACAAAATAAGATTTCTTCGATTATAGAAGTTAACATCAATACTTATAACATTTGTTTAAATTAACATCAATACTTATAACATTTGTTTAAATTAAACAATCATGAAGTTAAGACTTAACCAAACCTTAAAACAATTTTTGGTAGGTTGCCCTTACTCGCAAGTGGAAAAATCAGCTCGCTTCGTCACACCAAAACCTTCTACTTTCAATGCCTGTTTTAAATTTATAAACTTTAATTGTTAATCTTATAACCTATTTAATAAAACAAATTTATACAATTAAAATTTAAAACATTTTTGAATGATTTACATATAAGTTTTGATCTTATAGCCTTAATATGCACTTCCCTTCTTTCCGCACGGAAGCGTCCTTCGCCTTCTTCGATTTAGCCGCGGTCCAGAGCCTCACTCTTTCGTACAACTTGACAATCTCGCGGCTCCCTTCTCTTTATTGCGGCTCTGGCATCAAAATTTTCCTCCTCTTCCTCCTCCTTCTCCTTCTCCTCCCTACGACTTCTTCACTCAACTAGGGCACGACAGAAACGCCGCATGTTCCCTTCCTCCTCATTCTTCTTCTTTCAATCGATTAGGGCATGCACGAGAAGTATCTCTCGATCTCTCTGTTCTCTCGCTCAAGTGCTCGTTCGATGGTTCGAAAGGTGTAATACGACAATCAAGTCGCCGTCAAATAGGTGCTTATCTTGGTGCCTATTTGAATTTTTATTATCATTATTATTACTATTTTTTTTAACTTTATGTATTACACCACAGCTGCTCTCCCGTAAACTCAATTTGAAGAAATCGTCAAATCACAAGCATCTCGACCTTATCGGCTAGAAGTAGGTATTCCTGCACCTTCTCACCATCCTATGTCTCCAATACCATTGTCCACTTCTTCTATAGCCCCTGCTCAATGAAAGAGACAACTATAGTAGTAGGATAACAAGAGGCAATATCTACAAACCCATGACATCCAAAACACTTCCTTGTGGGCACTGTGTTGGGTGTATTGTTCCTCCCGGGCTTCTTCTCATTCTGATCAGCTCTATCATCCTTCAAGATAGTTTTCACACCTTCCTCTGGTGGTACTCCTATGGCTTCTATTGTGGGTGACTGTCTGAATGACAGCAAGTTCCTAATTTGCTTATGTTGTTTCTCCACCTTTAGGGCCAATATTTGAGCATGACTCGATGACCAGTAAGGTTGCAGCTGAACTATATAAGTGATGGTCAACTTCAAGCTTCCCAAATAGCTAGCTATGGAGTTCTCCACTAGCTCCCTCAGCTCACATTTCAGTATGAACAACTCAAACTACGTTGTTAACTCCTCTGCTGACAACTCCACCTGATGTACGAGATGTAGCTGATCCCGAAAATATAGTTGTGTAAAACTTATAAAGTTGACTCTGCTTTACAACGATGCCAAAAATTTGATGATTTATTTTATGAATAAGAAATTTAAGCAATTTATGTTGGGATTCTACGCAAGTTACGTATCGCTATCAAGTAATATAAGACTTTCTATTTAAGCTCCAAATATCAATCTCACGAGGAAGGTTTAAATTTGAAATGATAAATTAAGTAGGAAATTCACAGAAATAAAACAAAATTACTGTCACTAATATCGAATTGTTTGAGATACTATCATAACTAAATTATTAACTACTAGCAAAATTAAAATGCAAATTTTAAACAGTAACTACTAAACTATGTTTTATGTAAAAAACATCTTTCCCACTATAATGAGTTTTTGATAAAATAAGATGAGATAAATGGTTTAAATATGTATTGTGTCAAATAGGAGCAATTTTAATTCTCTACCCGAATTCAGTTTTGTAGAAAATCATTAATTAATCTCAGGTTTAGTCCCTAAATCAGTGGTTAGGCTGGGAGGATACTGTCTCTCACTCCAGAGCTCCCACTTCCCTTCCCTTGAAGGCTAACGCTCGCTATAGTTCTTAGACACTAAGACCGAATTGGGAATTTTACTCTGTCACTCTAAAATCTCTAATTCTACACCCAACAAAGTATATTTCCCTATTTATTTGCACTTAATTCTATGAACGAAATACTCTTTCATGGAATTAAATGTGATTCTCACTCTTGTTGTAGAACTCATACTCCATTTCTCGAATCATATGTTTAACAACATATTTTAACAATTCAATTGGTCAGATTGAAAAGTAAATTAAGAACGGAGTTGAAAAACTATCACAATTTATTTTATATTTTAAAATTGGCACATTCAAATTATCTCTTCATTCATCATATCTCAGAGTAAGGAGAAAGATAAAAGAAACTACTCAGACTTTTTGAGAAAGATATAACAAAACACACATTTTATATATAAATAAAAATTCATACAACAATAATAAACAAACAACACTTATCTGAAACTCTTTATCAAAGCAAATCTCTTTAGCCTATCCTAGAAGATGTAGAAAGAAGAAATCTCTCACTTCTCTCCCTCATTAACACTTTTAGAGAAGAATTCACAAATGAACTCGCCACAAAAAGTCAAAACTCTAAAGAAATAAATGACTAATGGACTCTAAGTGGTTGTGGGGAATGAGGAATAGCGTGGAAGAGAGTGGAAAGCGGTCGAAAGTGGTATTTTCTGATCAATTTCCGCTCTCAATAGAGTCTAATGTTAGTTTTCCAATAGGTGCATCTAAAAACTCTTCAAAAAGAGTCCAAATTCGTCAAATCTTCTAGAAACAGGTCTTGCATTGACATTGGAGCCGTCGAAGCCAGTGACCCGTGAACTATCTGTTAAATGGCGTCGTCGGCGCTGCTTCTGGAGCCATCGACGCTGAGGATAATCTGACCTTTATTTTCTAGGTCTGCGCCGTCAGCGCTGAGTATTTCTTCAAAAATGTCATTTTGACTCTAAATTTCATCCTTTTTGCTTCATTTTTATTTCAAGTCCTAAAAATCAACAACCTGCAATAAAATATGAAAAATACTCTCCTTTAAAGCGCAATACACCAAAAATGGGTATAAAATATAGGTCTAAATATGCATATATTTTTGGTGTTTCAGTAGCCTCAAGAACATGTTCTAGCAAAAGTGTGGGGGTAGATACTTTGCACCTCCTTCTTCATCTTCTCTAAAGTAGCGATATTTTTCTTACCTTCTCTTTGTTTCACTCTATTCAGATTTTCCCACCACAACGAGACACTTTTCTTCAATTTTATGGTAACAAGCTTCACCAACCTATCAGTCGGTACCTCCTTATCGCAAAAATCTTCTCAACGGCAAACAAAACCTTAATGAAATCATCTAAATTCATTCTCCCGTCGAAATCCATTAAATCTTCCTTTACCCTCATGAATTCATATCCTCCAAAAGTCACTCCATCTCTTGACCTCCCCTGACACTAAATTTCAAAGCGTTGTGGCCTATCCTCCCCTTTAATGGAATCATTCGTATGGAAGGGATTCCAATTATTCTTCCTCTCTCCTCTTTGAACCTTGCTATATTGAGCGACGATGATCTCTTCATGTGTCCCTTAATTTCAGCAAATCTTTGTTGAAGTCGACGGATTTCCCGTTACATCTCTTCCATGGTAAGTTCCAGATCGGCTTGTAGCACTTGTCCACTCAGTGGCATGTATAGGGTTTAGGTTTGGGAGGTGAAAGAGAGTGTATGCGATTCATTTAGAGTTGTTGATTTTGAAAATCAACAAAGGAAAAATAGGGTTAGATCAAGATTTGGTTATGGTTTGATGAGATTATGTTATCTGATGATGAAACTAAGGTTGGGCTAACTCTGATACCAAATAATACCAAAATTTAACAAACGCCCAAGAGAAAACAAATATTATAATTGAATTCAAAGTTTAAAATTACAACAAACAACAGAGAAATCTGAAATTGTAACAAAACAACACTGGAACGAGCGTTCGATCTAGGGTGTTGGTGGCACCGATTAAAATTTGGAGCTCTGGGGTGGTGGCAAAGAGGCGGCTAGCAAGTTGTAAACAATCATAGAAGGGTTGTTTTTGGGTGGTGACAACAAGGAGGAAGGGATTCAGTAAGGTGGCAGCAAAGGGAAATCGGTGAGGGTGAAGTGAATCAATGCTACAGAGACTGGGGGAATGATAGAAGGGAATACACACCACCTGAAGACCAAGATACAATCAGAGCATCACTTAGAACCCTACAATACATTCCTAGAAAGGGAAAAGGAGATGTCGATGGCTGTCCCAAAGTAAATCACCACAGATAAAACTAAACCCCAAATACCAACAAAGCAAATATATATGCTAAGATAACTAGGAGTGAGCCCCACTCCAATTAGGACCCTAGGCCCGAAGGGGGCTGACCAGCCCTCCCTCAACCTGGACTGAACCAGTACAGGGTCCCAAACACCATGTCACTTTGATTTGTGATATCATGTAGTTTGCAATCTTAATATATAATTTTGCAATAATAGGCATAGTCCAGCTATAAAGTGTTCCTTTTAGAAGCGACAACTTACTTCCTCAAAATAATTCTCATCTTCACATGCAAGATAGAAATCTCACGTTGATAGACGTCTCCTTACGAGATCTATCAGGTGCAGTAGCATAACAAAACCAATTTGTATGCCTTTAAATATTCCGAATCAATATGCTAATGCGCTAGAAATTATTATTTCTAGCTCAGGGCAAGACTTCAGGATAAACTGAAAGTTCTGATAAATTTTGTAGTCACTTCGGCAAACTTGATATTGGTTTTCTATTTGTAAATTTGGGTGGTTATCCAAGTAAGCCTGTACGTTATTGAGATTTGCATCATCCTTATCGTTAGTTCAACCAATTATGTGCAAATGCCTTTGCAGAATTTATGTCCATGTCACCATTGGTTTTCCTCTCGTTCTTCCTAATCGCTGGACACTAATTTCAACTATTTATTTTATGGGTGCATTTGCTACCAATTTTTATTCTAATAAACCAAATTCAAACCATATTTTGAGAATGGTCATCAACGTGAACTCAAATTATGTTAAATATCACTAAGGGCCCGTTTGGGGCAGCTTATAAGTGCGGGCGGTGTTTTGAAAACGCCGCCTCACTGTTTGGTTCCCACTTATTGAGAGATTATTGGAAAATGCGTTTTGGAAATTGTAAAAGTAAAATGCATTTAATATATCGCAACCAGCTAAGGGTGTTTAGTAAGATAACCTGCCAATAAAGAATACGTTGGGTAGCAGCACCTGTAGGATTACCCTCGGGCCACATTGGTAGAACTACATATGCAGAAAATCTTTCATGTGCTTTAATTTTGTTGGCTATTTTCAGGGCAATCTCCATGGGTATCAAATTATTGGCACCTAAACCACAAAAAGGGACACATCAATCATCAGTTTGAAAAGAAACAAATATTTACAGCTAATGGTCAGCATCATGGAGTGCTGCCCAAAAAAAAAAGATACCTATGCTACAGCAATAGTAAGTATTCAAACAAGTTAGTTTTGCTACAACTATCCGATTCTTTTAGCTGAGCAACACAAAAGATATTGAGACGTTCTAATATAAATGCAAATGAAATGCAAATAAGAGCCAATAAGTGTATCATAGAGAAATAGTTTCTTTAACAAGTCAATGAAAAAATTGTATCAAGTATTTACTTAACTGTATTGCATTTGCCAATTCATGCTTATGAAATTCATCTGAAAAATACAAATAATCTTTACATCATGCGACCAATAAAAAAAAAGGAGAACTGTGCTTGTATTACAAAGAAGAGAACTAACTAGTGCTCAAGTTGAAAGCATGAGAATACACGATTGCATGAGAGGCACTTCTGCAATTGATTAAATTTACCTAGATCCTTGTTAGAATCCCAATTATAAGATGAGCCCAGGAAGTATTGGTTTTCAATATATAAAAAATGTTGAGCAGCTCGGATGGCCTTAACATAAGCTGTGTGTATACTCATGTCAATAAGAACATTCTTTCCGCATACCAAGTTCTGTTGAAAAGTTCAAAAGATACATCAGTTCCTCAAAAGATAGCAAGCTGTTCAAAGCTTCAAAAGTAATAAAACAAATCAGAGCATTGAACTTGCCTTGGATGTAGCATCTTTTGGATCCTTCGGAAAACCTTTCACAGAATTTGAATCAATAGAACGGAAAATCTGATTTTACAAATAAGTTAAAGAAAATCAATGTAAATACAAGTAATTAGAATGGGCCCACTTCAAGTATTTGAAAAAATAACAAAAAAATGTCATGCCTGCACATGCCAACTCTCAGGATCATTATCATTGAGGTAATCATTCGGTCCAATGATTTCAGGTATCCTTTCTAGCCTGAGCAATGCATCATCATAAGATTTCTTCAGCTTTCTGATCCCGTGGGGTTTGGCTGCCTTTAGCCAGCGCTCCTCAAAGTTTTTCAGAACATCATAAGCAGCTGGACCATCAATTCTAGAGTGCAAATCATGCCAAGCCTCTCTTGGACCTTTTGTATCAGTCCCCTAATAAGAACATGATACTATAAGGACAAAAATTAAGGCATAGATTCTGTAAATTTTATTAGCTTTTTACATTATTGTCCGCCGTTTTATTGTTCAACTTCACTTTCGTAGTTTGAAAAGGTGATGATTTTGTGATTTTGAAAATAATTTAAATATAAATATAACTTTTTTAAAGAAGTAACATTTTAATTTTTAAAATAAATGAGACCAAACGAGTCTCACATTTTTAAATAGTTTAGATGATTTAATACAATAATACAAGCAATACATTTATCCCGAAGAATAAATATATCACTTGTAATAGGGATTTAATCATCTAGACTAAACAATTTGTGACATCCGTTTTGATCTGCGAAATATTTTATAAAAAGGCCAACAAGTTCCCCTATCTAACATAAAAATTAGATAAGGTTTATTTTATCTGGGTTCCTGGTTCCCTATAAAGGCAAGCCCCTATAGTTAATTACATCTTAAATGATCGAAATCACTTAAGATAACTCTCGATTAAGATCAGGTGGTTTTGCTTTCAAGATTTCAAGTAGAGTTAGAGGACTTTAGAGTGACAGACTAAAGCCCCCAACTTAGTTTCTTATTTTAGGTTTTGATATGAGATGTTAGCCCCCAAGTGGAGGAAGAAGATGGAACTCTAGAATGAGAGGAACACCCAAATATTTGAGGGGGAGGGAAGTTTTAGTGAATCTAGTGAAGGAAGTGATCCAGTTCTTTATGCTTGTGGTGGTCTTGTTGCTAAATAGAATGGTGCATTTAGCAGGATTGAAATTCATTCCACAATGTTTTTGAAACCTCTGGATGCAATTATAAACCTTCTTCATAGCTGTTTTATTGGCATTAGAGAAGGACATAATGTCATCCATATATGCCAAGTGAGATATGACCAAATTCGATTTATGGTGATGCCTAGAGTATGAGCTAGTATTTATCTCTTAATCCAACATTCTAGAGAAATAGCCCTTAGCTAAAATGAAAGTAGTAGGAGAAAGGGGGTCCCTTTTTTGCCTTCCTCTAGAAGAAGTGAAGTTGCCCCAAGCTTGCCCATTGATTAGGATTGAATAAATATTATTCCTTAGCCACCTGGATATCATTTCATAGAACTCCATAGAGAAACCCCTGATAGCAAGCACCTCTAGAATGAAGTCCCAGGAAATGGTGTCATAAGCTTTTCTAATGTCCAATTTGTCTATGAGATTTCCACCTCTACAGGTTTTGTCCAAGTCCAATAAAAGTTACTGTGCCAGTAGAACACTATCTGCTATGGATATTCCTTTGATAAAAGCAGTTTGGTTTTGGTTAATAATCTTATCAAGGTGTGGTTGAAGTCTAGCCACCAGTACCTTGCTAATGATTTTTTGGATTACAAAAATAAGGCTAATGGGTCTAAACAATTCCAATTTCTACTATCAGCTTGTTTAGGGATCAAAATCATGCAGGAAGCAGTAAAATACTGTGGAAGGTCAGCACTTTGAAAGAAACTTTGTATGGCCTTGATCAAATCTATTTTAATGATTCTCTAAGCTTTTTTATAGAAGTCTGCAGTAAAACCTTTAGAGCCAGCAGTTTTAGAGCTGTCAATATATTGAATTGCATCCCAAATTTCTTGCTCAGTCGGTGTATCATTCAAGGAGAGGCTGTTGGTCAAATGATGCTCATTACTGAACAAATTAGGGTCAATTTGTGGTCTATCTACTGAATTTTGTGACAGGAATATGGTGAAAAATTTAACAACAATTGCAGCAATAGCCTAGTTATCATGAATCCACTGACCAATTGAGTTATGTATGTCATGGATGGTGTTACGTTTCCTTTTGCATTTAATATAAGCATGGAAGAACTTAGTGTTCCTATCACCATCTTTAAACTTATTAATAAATAGCAGTTTTTTGACTAAGGAAGCTCTCTTGCCAATCAATAGCAGTTAGAAGTCTTTCTTGTGCCTCAATTAAAGAAGTTTCAAGCTCCTCATTTTCTAAAAAGTCCACCTTAAGGTTCTTCACTTCTTTTTCAGTGGTTGTCATAGCAAGGTGAACATCCCCAAAGGTCTGCCAACCCCAAGTTTTGAGAGCTTAGCTAACCTTAATATGGAGAAACCAAAGTTTGACCAAAGGGTCCTCCTGGATCACCCCACACCAGTGAGCAGCCACACATTCCAGAAAAGATGGATGAGAAGACCACATGTTGATATATCTGAAATGGGGGGTTGCATGGGGTAGAGGAGGTGGGGCAACAATGTTAATGAGAAGAGTCTATGATCAAATCCTACCAGGCACAGATGTCTCACAGAAGTATGAAGGAATTTTTGGATCTATAGTTCATTCACCAAGAATCTGTCCAATCTTTCTCAGATCTTTCCCCTCTTCCAGGTGAAGTAATTGCCAATGAATCACAAATCAAAGATTCCATCTTGTTGGATATTATCACAGAATTGGGTCATTTAAATAAATTAGGTGGTCTACCACCACTTTTCTCAACAGAGTTAGCTATGGAGTTGAAATCACCACCTACCAACCAGTTGTCAGCATGTTTGCACTTATACTCTTGAGTTCAGACCACAACTCCAATTTGTCTGACTTGTTGCAGCCTGCATATGCAAAAGCTGCAAAACCAGTGTGGCCATTGATATGAAATGATAAATGTATAAATTGAGGAGTATTAATTAATACATCCCAAGTTATCTCTTTCCTGCACAATATCCAAATTGTTAATGTTTGGAAAATGAGTGACACCAATGAATTTCTTAATCAATTTTTAAGTGTTTTTATGAACCATAGGTTCCAAAATTGATATACACCAAAGTTGGTATTTCTTATTAAGATGGATAAGTCCTTTAATGGAGAGGGGACAGGCAATTCCCCTGATGTCCCGACAGATGAAGTTAACCATGTGGAGAGGGTTGGGATTTGTACCTCACTCTCCCTTGTCTGGTCCTAGATGGAGACCCCCTCAAAGAGGATTTAATACTCACAATATATGAATCTACTTGGAGTCTTTAGAGTTCCCCATTTACCTTCTTCTTTTTTCTTGGATTTTATATTTGCCAGTCCATCTCCAAATCATTGTTCATATCAGTTATCATGCGAGCAAACAATTCAATCTGTTCAGATGTTGCAGTAGGACCTGCCACCAAAGTTCTAATCTCTTGATTGGTGTTGGCTAACAACTAATGTGAAGACATGGCCATTTGAGTGGGTTCAGCAGTTTCCACCACAATTTCCTTGGATCTGACACCAGAAGCCCCTATTGATTGTTTTATCACCAGTAGTTGAGAATAGGATGGGGTAGTAGAGACTACCTCCGACGATTTCTTCTCAGGTTGTCCGTTGACCATAGGCTGGGCCAATTGGGTAGGTTTAGTAGTTTCCACCAATGGCTCCTTTCCTCTGATTGTAGAGACACCTTTGTTGTGTACATGTTGTGCCACCAAAGATTGTGATGTTTGATGCCCCCCCTCTGGAGCCTCCCTTCTAATATATTCCAAAGTTGCACTAGTAGGTTCAGTAACTATGGGCATTGAAGATGGGGGTAGTTCGCCAGAAAAACATGCGGGCTTGGATTTAATAGGCGGGTGTAGCCTGTAGCATCTATCTTGCGTGTGTCCAAACATCCTGTAATGAGGACAGTATCAGGGTTTTTTCTCCATTACAATTTTCTGCCAAATGCCATTCTCAGTGGTTCCCAACCATATTTCCTCTACCATAGGCAATGTGATATCCCTCTCCACCAATATTCTTTCCACTGAAGGCCTCGAAAAGGTAAAAGTGGGAACATCCATCTTCAGCGGTCTTCCTAAAGCCAATCAAATATTAAATAAAACTTTGTGATTAAAGAAATGAAAGGGTTGGCCTGGGAGCTTGAACCAAATAGAGACAATGGGAGATTCTTTGCTTGGATCAACATCAAGTGTCCATTTCAATATCTTCACTGAGCTTCCCTCTAAAGTAATTGACTCTTTAACAAATAATCGTGCATAATCTTCCTCCAACACAAACTTAATTTAAATATGGTGGTCATCCACCAATCCCACCTTCCAGGCCCCTGTAAAAGAGAAGTTTTCCAAGTATCTTCTGACAGTTTCCATTTTGGGGTGACCTAGCTGACATTTGTCAATCAGGATGAACTTGGAGTCTGCCTTCAATGTTTGTAGCTCTTCAGTCTTTTATAAACTGGCTAGTTTCCCTTCTTTAACCCCTAAGAAGTTGATGAGAGAGCAAGGTTCCTTACTAGAGGCAACATCATGGAATTCTTGTGGGAAAACCACACATTCAGCATTAATGGCATCATCCCTCCCATTTCCCACAACTCCAACATAAGTAGTTTTATTCCATTGTGCATTAAGATTCAGATCTAATAGCAAAGGATCAGCCATGGATCAAGGAAGAAACCCACTTGGCACTGAGGAACCAAGCAATGGAACAGTAACACACACACACGCACACACACGCACACACACACACACACACACACAGATATATATATATATATATATACATTTTTGTGCAATTTATTCATGTGCGGCGTCCTAGAAAAATGGGTCCCCCTAGGTAATTTCGACATTCCGGACGCACCGGCGCAGTTTGTTTTGTCGTCAGATGTCGTTTTGATGAATTCATCGATTTGTGTGTCAATTTTCTCGTGTCGAAAATATGGCAATATGGGTGTCCTTTCCTACCAAAATTGATATCCCGGACGCGTTGGCGCAGTCCAATTTGTTGTCGGGGGTCGTCCGGAGAAGTTCGCATTTTGACCCCTCCTCTTGGCTTAATTGAAGTCCGATTTCATGCAATTTTGTGAACTTTGTGTATTTGGTGTGTGTATGTGACGAGAAA